AATTATATGTTAATGTATTTTGGTATTTTCTATTAAATTGATTATCGAATTTATAAAACTTTAAAGACTCTCATAAACCCCATTAAACCGTGATGCATGCATCCCCTTTACACCTGATGATAAAAGGCAAACCATAACTTGGCTATATATAAGATATAATATATTTTTGTTCAATCCATTTAACTTTCTTGGGACATCCACCACACTTTGAAAACACATCAAAGGAGTTTCCCCTCTGTGTCAATATTTCATATATGATAACGTCTTCTCTGTACGCTATTGTGAACCTCGACTTTAAAGTTTGTCCATATTAAACAGCTCAGCTTTCGCAGCGGTCACCCACAGGAACCCCTGTTTCCCTTCTATGCACCTATGGTACCAAACCCACTGTACTATAGGCGAACCGTCACAGGGTTACCATTCCATTATCACCTATTAAAAAAAACCTCCCTTATGAGGAAGGCTTATGTTCAGCAGTGGACAGTTCACGGCTGATATCATAATGATGGAACTATAATAAGCTCTTGATCACTTTAATAAAAATAAATTAAACAAAAAAAAATCTTCAGTTAACTGTACATATTCTTGTTTGTTTATACGTTTGTTTGCTATTTACTTTATTATTTACAATAATTAAAATTTAATACCTCACGAAGCGTAACTTCCTTAACGTAGATAAGACAGTACTCGTAATAAACAGCACGTTTCTTTTTGTTTACAAAATAAAATAACTAATAATTTATCACAACAGTGACAAACCTTAATCTGTACTATTATATAATTTGTTATGATTTATATATGTATTTATTAATTTAATATGTACTATGTGCAGTTATTTATATATGTATTATACATACATAAATATGTATATTTTTTTGTAAGTACATTAACTTATATGTTTGTATGTTTATTTATCATAAATTGTTGTTATTACTCAAAACATTTATTTAATTTTCAATTTTTTAAATCTATGCACCGCCATTTGCTCTCTCTGTTTAGCGTAGCGGTTGATTGGTAGAGAATGCCATCAGGTATTAAATCCGCCCTGTAGGTAGACATATTTTAATGTGTGCAAAAGTATAAATAAATAAAAAAAAAAGTTGTTTTTTGACAGTTTATAATAGGAAGAGGTTCTCAATTCGTACTTTTTGTATATTTTTTTTACAACACTGGGAGCAAATGAGCATGCGGCTTACCTAATGGTAAGTGACTGGGGGGAAAGGGATTGTTAGTAATGGAGACTTAGAATCCTATTGCTAGCAATATACCCAACCAGGTCGACCTCCTCGCGGTTCTCCCTGGAAACTATCATGGTTAATTCCTGATGAATTCATCATGATGGGCTAACTGGCCTGATTTCATTCTCATCTATCACCCTTCACTGGTGCTCCGCCAGCGTATCCCGTTAGCGCAGGCGGGGTTACCATACCATTTTCACCCTTCAAAAAAAAATGGTAACTGACTACGTTGAATCAACGATTATCAAAACGTTTATTACATCTAGATAGAAAAAACCTCAAAATAATGATAGGGACAATAACGGGCCATTGTCCATTAAACAAACATTTATACACAATAGGCGCCCGGACAGCCCTCTATGTCGAGGCTGTTTCGACGTCGAAGAAACGGCTGCTCCAATCGGCTATTACCAATCCATTATCATCCAACAAAAAAAAAACCTCTCATTTTGGACCATTGTACGTAGATAGATAGAGAGATTGATTTATTGTTTCCTCCAAACGATTACAATAGTAAAATTATTATAAATACAAACAATTACAAGAAATAATCACAATGGGGAAAAAACTAATTCCAAAAATAATTTTTTGTCTATATATTTTGATTGCCAATTGATTTTTATGAAATAAAAAAAAAATATAACCTACTTTACGCTACTTTTTAATAATATAAGCTTTCATAGATGAAAGAATTTTTAAAATCTGTTCAATAGTTCTTGCGATCCAAGCCTTGCCATCCAAGGGGGCGCTGCGGTTCAATAGGGACGCTGTTTCATTAAATGTAAAGGCGGTAGAGATTAATAACGATGGTGACGTCATCAGGTGCGGGCGAGGGGTGGGGCTTCCTAAGCCCAACAGGTAGTTACTAAACTAAAGCCGGCCCTGTGTCTCTCGTCTTTATTTGTAAAACGACAAGAGTAATAAATTTAAACCTTCGTATCCAATACAAGGGTAAATTATGTTTAATTATACATTATTTACATACAGTTTTATGTAACTTTTGCAGATTATATATATATATATATATATATATATATATATATATAAGATATTATATGTAGGATCATCATTATCATCGTCATATCAGCAGCAAGCTGTCCGCTGAACGTAGGCTGCCTCCATAAGGGGGTTTTTCACTAGTTGCCACGATTGGCAGATGGGATGGCAATCAAAGTCCGATTTGTAATAGATAAATAAAAAAAAAAAACTTAACCGACTTCAAAAACCCTTTCTCCTAAGAAAGCTACATTACTAGGGAGAAGATAAGATAAATAGATAGATTATTTATATCACTTACAGTACTTACGTACGTACGTACTTATACCACTTAAAGTACATGGGTGTATGTACATTTAAAATATTTTTATTAAATAAATAAATAAATAAAGATCTTCTATCCATCTACTTGTTAACTAAATTACTTGAAAATTAACAGAAAAAAAAAATACTGAATGAATGAATGAGTAACGTTAATAAAATCAATAGAGAATAGAAGAGGCAAAACATTGGGCCCTCTCATACGACATGACAATTTTTAAAAAACCATAGTAAAAGGAAAAGTAGTTGGCAAAAGAGAAAGGGGAAGACCGAGAAAGAACCACATGAGACAGACAAGGAAATGCTAGGTGTCATGTCGTATAGGGAGGTCAAGGATATGGCCTGGGATAGAGCTGGCTGGAAGAAGATGCATGAATTAGTTGCACCGACAAGAAGAAACTCTCAAAACAGAAAATGGTAACTATTCGAAAGTGTATCTTTTATTACATTCAAATTGTTAATAACTCACAGAGTTAAAAAAAAAATACAAAGATTTTTAATGTCGGTTTTGATAAAAAAAATATTTAAATGTATTAGAAATTTAGTTTATATTATATTAATCGATAAATTAAAGATTACGCTGTTTGTAATTTAATTAAATGTGAAATTAAAATTTAATGTTAGTATTATTATTTAAAAAAATATATGTAATAAAATATAAAATTATGATAGATGTAATTCCTTTATTTCTGTACAGTTATGAATGAATTGTACCTATATATATATATATGTAAATTGAGTATAATATATTGTAAACAAATTGATTTTAAAAAAAACAATACTTAAAATATTTTAGAGATAGATGACAGAGAAACAGCGCTTTAGAATCGACCCATTATTTGGTTTATACCGTTATATGTTCTAACGATATAAACCAAATAATAGGTAACACTATCTCCTTTGTGACGGAGATGTTTGATAGTTTCAAATATTAATTAATCATTTATTATATTATATTATAATTGCAATTTAATTAGTTCTTAACGAAGGTAATTAATTATACACGATTTTTTATCATAACGAGGCCAGGATGAGGGGTTTTGATAAGACCCAAATATTTTTTTTTCCATCAAATATTAAAATAAGATTGACAGTATAACTATGTATTACATTGTGTGACGGTCATTGTTTTTTTTTATTTATTTATATTTGTATGTTTTATATTTATTTCTGTTTTATTTCTTTTTTTAAATATACCATGTATTATATAGGATTTTGGAAAAGGAAATGAGCTACTCGAAGTATTAATCCCGCACAGACGAAGTCACGCGCACTAGCTAGTAATATGGATTTTTTTTAATTGAGCATTTTTTATTAGATATACTTCTTGCGCCAAATAGCTGTCGTCTTTTCTCTCTCTCTCTACCTCTCTACCCTTTTCTCTCTACCCAAAGGTTGTCTGAAAGAGATTGCTTTAGCGATAAGACAGCCTTTTGTCTTTCATATGTGTAATGTATATGAAAATTTTTGTATTATTCTTTTAGTTGTGCGTGAAAAATTAATAAATTAATAAATAATTTTTAATGTATATAATTCCCCAATTGTTATTTATTCAATAAAATTTGAGATTTATATACATACAATTACTACATGGAAAACAATCTCTATCGATCGCTTCTAGTTTATGTCCGAAATACGACCAGCATAACCTGCGGTCTGGAGTCTGGAACATTATACTGTGTCGCCCTGCCAAGTCACGTAGTGTCTTAACCGGCGCCAGAGGTGCTAGCTGCGCTTCTACAGCGGCAGTGTCCTTAAGTTGTAACCGGAATGACACGGATAATATAATACTAGTTCCGGAAAAATACTTTTTAAGTTTCTAAAAAGGAAATCCTCAATTTAATCTCCAAACCTCTGCAGGTATAATGTCTATGATAACTGATTTTGCCAGTATTAATGTAGGTTTTTTTTTATTATTTATAATTGATTAATTAATTTATTAATTAGTTATAACAAAATCAAAAACGCAGTGTATGACGACCCCCCACTAGATGGAGTGACAACCTCAAATGCATTGCAGGAAGTCAATGGATGCAGGTGGCTCAGGACCGTTCCTTATGGCAGTCTATGGGGGAGGCTTATGTCCAGCAGTGGACGGATAATGGCTGAAATGATGATAAAATCTACTGGTGAATTTTTTTTATACAATTTAGAATGGCAAATAAGCTGACGGCCCACCTGATGGAAAGTAGTAACCGTCGCTTCTAGACATGAGCAGTACCATGGACATAACAGAGTATACTGTTTCGCCCACGATACCTGCCATACATTGTCATTACTGACGATTCAGGTGTTATTCCTCTGTACCCTGTAAATTCACTGCTAAACCGAAACACAGCCATGCAAACGCAACTGCTTCACGGTAGAAACACGAATGAGACAGAGGTACCCAATCAAACGAGTTTAGTACACACTCTTCTTCTGGTAAATCTGGTGAATACTTACAACCATTGCAAAAACGAGTTCTTGATCACTAATCACTTCATTTGCTATCGGGTTTCCTTTAGACGAGTCAAAATATGAGATGACAAGCACTAATAGTATGTACCGGAACATATCTGCAACAAACATATTTATTTATTTAAACTTTATTACACCATTTATAAAATAGTAAATACATTTAACTGTAATAAGAAATGATACAAAAGGCGGCCTTATCGCTAAGCAGCTCCAGGCAATTTTTTGATTATTATTAGTTTTACTAGTTTTTTTTTTTACTTCGTAGTGTATCATAGTAGTTTAATACCTACCAATGTTTATCTGTACATTAGTAGATATTTTGTAGGGAAAGGGATTGTTATTAACCCTTTATTAACCGGGCATCCCGCCATTTCCGCGTGCAGTATTTACTAGTTTAATTTTACGTATCCCGCGATTTCCGCGTGCAGTATCTACTAGTTTAATTTTACGCATCCCGCGATTTCCGCGTGCAGTATCTACTAGTTTAATTTTACGCATCCCGCGATTTCCGCGTGCAGAATCTACTAGTTTAATTTTACGCATCCCGCGATTTCCGCGTGCAGCTCTACTAGTTTAATTTTACGCATCCCGCGATTTCCGCGTGCAGTATCTACTAGTTTAATTTTACGCATCCCGCGATTTCCGCGTGCAGTATCTACTAGTTTAATTTTACGCATCCCGCGATTTCCGCGTGCAGCATCTACTAGTTTAATTTTACGCATCCCGCGATTTCCGCGTGCAGTATCTACTAGTTTAATTTTACGCATCCCGCGATTTCCGCGTGCAGAATCTACTAGTTTAATTTTACGCATCCCGCGATTTCCGCGTGCAGCATCTACTAGTTTAATTTTACGCATCCCGCGATTTCCGCGTGCAGTATCTACTAGTTTAATTTTACGCATCCCGCGATTTCCGCGTGCAGTATCTACTAGTTTAATTTTACGCATCCCGCGATTTCCGCGTGCAGCATCTACTAGTTTAATTTTACGCATCCCGCGATTTCCGCGTGTAGTATCTACTAGTTTAATTTTACGCATCCCGCGATTTCCGCGTGCAGAATCTACTAGTTTAATTTTACGCATCCCGCGATTTCCGCGTGCAGTATCTACTAGTTTAATTTTACGCATCCCACAATTTCGACGTGCTCGCATTTTTTATGTCTATTGACGTTGTTATCCCGCCATTTTTGTTTTAGTAGATCGATATTGTTTCTCAGAATCTCGCTAGATGGCTGAATACTCGTATTGCTTTATTTGTTGTCAAAGCGATGTGTTTTATTGTTGTGAATAAAAAAAAAATACGCGGTTAGAGGGTTAAACGTTCATTATTGCTAACAATATACACTATCAGGTCGACCTCCACGCGGTGCCTCTTGAACCTTTCGACCGCTCTAGTAAAATTTATTTGACAAACATTTCCGTATGTGTACTACCTCTGTCATATCTGTAACATATGTTCGTTTTTGTTTATTCAACTGATAGAAGCAGAATATACAATAAATGTTTACAAAAAGATTATAATGACTTATCATGGACAGAAATAATTAAAACTGGTAAAGCGTGAGTTAATTTACACGCCGAGGGTTCAGTATATAAAATTTTTTGCAAATAGGTTTTTTAATTCTTTAGATGAAATAGTTTATTAATATGCAGATGTGGGATATTTTAATATCATCATGACAGCTGTTAATTGTCCACTGCTCATTAGGAGAGGGAAAGGGGAGGGGGGTGTCAGGAGTTTCCAAAAAATACGTTTTTAATTTTGTATTTTGGACTGCTCTTCTTATTTGCCACATCAAAAGTATTATGTTTACATTACCCATTTAAATTAAATAGAAATGTTGCTACTGTACGTCTCGAATAAATTGATACACTTTTTAATTATTAATTTGCTTAATGATTGAATGAATTCATACGCTCGTAGCATTTTTACGTTGAGCACACTTTTTAAACTCCTTTACAAAGAATTTTTTTCAATTATTTCTTATACAAACTTTTTTATCAATATTTGGAACTATTTGAAACATAAAGTCATATGTTTTTTCTTTTTTGTTTATACAACTTAGAATGGCAAACAAGCTGACGGCACACCTGGTGGAAAGTGGTAACCGTCGCTTATAGAAATGATCAGTACCATGGACATAACAGAGTATACTGTTTCGCTCATGATACCCCCCATACGTTGCCATGCCTAAGGACTCAGATGTTATTCCTCTGTACCCTGTAAATTCACGCCATATCCCACCCTTTAAACCGAAACACGGCCATGCAAACACAACTGCTACACGGTTGAAACACGAATGGAACAGAGGTGCCTAAGCAAATGATTTTTATACAAAGTCTGCCTCTGGTAAAGTTGCTAAGATGTATTTTTATGACAGAAAACAAGTCTAAAGGTAAAGATTACTATTTCTCATCGAGGGTTTTTTTTTATACAACTTAGAATGGCAAACAAGCTGACGGTCCACCTGATGGAAAGTGGTAACCGTCGCCTATAGACATGAGGTTTATTTGTCATCTCAACTTGGGCAAAATACCTCAAAATGATGCACGAAAATTAAACAGTTTAAGATAATTTCTGTGGTCGCTAATACGTCAAATGTAGGAAGTGACCCGTTTACCATATCTGTTGCGAACTTTATAATTTTATCAAATGAACTGTATTTAACCCAATCAGATAATATAAGAGTAAAAAAAAAAAGATTGAACCGTATTTAGTTACAATTAAAAGTACTGTTGTTATGTTGTTAATACTAGTTAAAGTATCATATATAAATCAAAGTTTTTAGTAATTACAGGCTTATGTTCAGCAGTAGACGGATAATGGCTGAAATGATGATGATTCAGTAATGATAAGCATCATTACCAATCATTATAAACTGTCAATCTTGTTTTTTTTAATATATTTAATTTAATTTTATAATATAAATTTTTATGTATTAGTAACTTAATATACACACATTTGGATAAAATAAATGACCTATTTTTGGCTTGTGGTCCCGGCATAGAATGGGCCACGCTTTCCTTTTCCTTAGTTGTAAGAGGCGATTGAGGGAACTTAATGAGGGTGACAACGTTCATCTTAAAACATTACCAAAGCCTAACTGCGGTTACCAGGGGGGAAAGGGATTGTTTGGAGTTTGATAGCTCCGTTGCTAGCAATATGACATATTGGGTCGACCTCCGCGTGGTTCCCTCTGAAAACCATCGTGACCAGTTCTTGTTGAATTCGTCATGATGGGCTAACTGACCTCTTTCATCCTCACCTATCATCCTTCACTGGTGCCCCGCCGGTGTATAGCGATAGCGCAAGTGGGGTTACCATTGCATTACCATCCATTAAAAAAAAACTGCGGTTACCAATCCGCCTATCAAGTGTGCTAATACTAGCAAAATTCTCCTTACGGGGAAGGCCTATGATCAGCAGTGGACAGTTTTTTTTAATGGGTGATAATGGAATAGTAAATCCACTTGCTCTATCGGAATACGCTGGCTGGGTACCAATGAGGGATGACAGCTGAGGACGAAAAGCCAGGTCAGTTAGCCCATCGTGGCAATTTCCACTAGAATTGACCACGACGGTTTCTAGATAGAACCGCGTGGAGGTCGACCTGATAGGGTGTATTGCTAACAATGGGTCAAATATACCCCATTACTAACAATCCCTTTCCCCCGCAGTGGACAGTTAACGGCTGATATGATAACGATGACATTAATGTAAGTGACAGTCATTATAATGATTTAAAAATGAAAACGTATCTCTAGACTTACATACATCAAAGTATTTAATAAATCATTACCAATCATTAAGCACTGAATAACAGTGATCTTTTAAATATATTTGCAAGAAATTTCTTTCGTTTTTTTGTTTTCAATTTAACTATATAATATAAACTTGTTCATACAAGTAAATTTATATATATTTGTATTTTTTTTATACCACTGAGGTGGCAAACAAACATACGGCCCACCTTATGGTAAGCGGTTACCATAGCCTATGAACGCCTGCAATACCAAGGGTTACACGAAAATTGCTGACCCTGAAGAAACCTCTTTAGCTCTCTTTTGAAAAACTTCATGCTGTAGTCTCTTGGGAAAACCTCAACAGGGAGCTCATTTCATAACTTGAGCGTTCGTGGGAGTAAACATCTCTGAAACCTTGTATGGAGATACTATAAGTATCCGATATGTATGCATTTTTTTATACAACTTAGAATGGCAAATAAGCTGACAGCCTACCTGATAGAAAGTGGTAACCGTCGCCTATAGACATGAGCAGTGCCATGGACATAACAGAGTATACTGTTTCCCCCATGATACCCCCCATGCGTTGCCATTCCTGAGGACTCAGGTGTGATTCCTCTGTACCCTGTTAATTCACTGCCATATCCCACCCTTCAAACCGAAACACAGCCATGCAAAGACAACTGCTTCACGGTAGAAAAACGAATAGGGCAGAGGTACCCAAGCAGTCGACTTTTATACAAAGTCTCCCTCTGGTAAATCTGGTACGCATTCTCGATTGAAGCTTTTGCCTACAGAACAATATGCCATTTGTCTGTTTCATATCAGCTTAAGATACACTCATATTTTATGCTGACGGGAATGCCTTATGAATGTGGATCTATCAAATATTCATTGCCTTATACACATTTCAATATGTCATGGACAATCCGTCACTGTAAGGTAAAGCTATGCAAATGTCGCAAATGTTTACGGTTGGATGGGCCGAGAATCGAATTCCATACCCGTGCTGATATCTGACACATCGAAACTGGCGTGTTAAATAATTTGTGGCCGACATTTTGCAATTAATACGAAGTCAACACGGGTATTTTGTCTTGGTTTGTACTTAGGGTTTTTTTTATGGGTAATAATGGAATGGTAGCCCCGTCTGCGCTATCAGTATACACTGGCGGGGCACCAGTGAGGGATGGTTGGTGGAGGTGAAAAAGCAGGTCAGTTAGCCCATCGTGACGAATTTAACGATAAATTAATCACGATGGTTTCCAGGTGGTGCCGCGTGGAGGTCGACCTGATAAGGTATATTGATAGCAATGGGGATTAATCTCCCCATTACTAACAATCCCTTCCCCCCT